AAACCAGTGAGAACTGCTGGTCTCGCCTCAACCCGGGTCTTTGGCTATCTGTCTATTAATCTGTGGTCACACCGACTTTGCACTAACACACGTACAAAAACCCTGGGATTGGTCATAATAAAAACATGTCGGATGCGCAGTACGGATCGGCGCGAACGCTGATTCCAACAGAATAACTACTTCCGTCAAAAAGAAGCACTTTTATTTTCGCGATGTTACTCTACATCGCTATAATAATTTTAGATACAATTACTATTTCTCTTCTGCGCTATCATATTGTTGCGAATAACTTTATTTTATATGCAAATCATTACATATTATATGAAATATACAATTTTTCATCATATGTACAGATGAAGGCATAAATAATATTGGATTGCATTCAGTATACGTTTGAATGTTACGAAAACTTATCATTTACATCATTATTGGACTGAAAACTGAATCGTCTAAAATTTACAAGCTTATCTGCAGTGTATAATATACTTTTGGAAACATGTATATGCATACGAATGTATATGTGTATGTGTGTATGTATGTGCATATATATAAAATATAGATACATTTTTTTATATCTCTATTGAACAGGTCCAATGAATCTTGAAACGAGGAAAGTATCGTCTTCTAGTCCGCGGTTTACATCAAATTAACATTTAAGATATACTGAGGATATCTCAACATTCTTTCTTTCCCCTTTAGGATTTCTTCGCGAGCGCCGTGACCGCTTTACTCCCGGGTGCGCTTTGCGGCACCAGACGTACGGTTATCAGCGATAGATCGAGCATTTTACGCTGGTATTTCTTGTGAAACACCATAGCGGCAGATTGCGTCTTAAACACAATGGTTGCGCTACCCTCGCCCATGCGTATGCTCTATAACACGAAGAATAGAGAAGACACTGGTTATTAGATTATCAATTATACATCGTTTATTTAAAATAAGTATAAGTTTATAAGATGTAAAAAAAAGCACATAATTTTTGGCTGAATCTTGGACGTAACGCATTCTTCGAGTTCAAACGAAACGAGGAGTTAGTACAAAGCTGTCAACTGAACGGTCTAATTGTTTTGCGGAATTTGCAGATGTTTCTTATTACACCAGCTGTTTTAAATCAGCTTTAGAATTGTACATGTTCCGTTACATCTTTAGAGCCTCTGAGTTACATTCTATACATGGAGAAAATATAATACTGAGCAAATTATATAAACTAAAATGATGTATATATAATGTAATCAGAACTAGGTACCAAATATCTTATATGTCACGTGTATGTAATATTTGTAATTGTATAACGATATAATATAGCATCCATATTATAAAGATTTCCTTTTTCAGAAAATAACATCTCAATATATATAAAATGGTAATAGATATTATAGCAATCTCCGTGAAGAAAACATACTAATCACGTCACGTGCCATATGCGTATCTAACAACTTAACAAAATAGAAAATTTATGATTTTGACATTTATGCAATAACTCTATATAAAACAAGTTCTTCATACAATAAAGATATGTTATAAGAAAAAAAAGCTTTCGTATTTCTAATACATGTCTTTGGAATGAATATAATAAATTAAAATACATATCTCTTTGAAATTAACAATGGCAAAATTAAAAACTAAAAGAACAATCAATCGAATGTAACATATACATATACGGAGCAGTCTCCAATACATACTCCGATAAAGTGAGTTTTATAAATTGCCTACGACGGAATATCTCAAGTCCTATCGACTTTTATGTAGAAAAATTTAAAAAAATGCATGTGCAGAAATAACACGTGGTCCTTTGGAGTCTAAATAAGGCCTAAAACTAAATATTTTCCGTAAGCGTAAACATGAGAAAGTATATGTATGAGTCGTGCGTAATAAAAGTGATGGGGATTAATAAAAGTAGATGTGCCAGGTGAACATTTTTTTTTCATGTAAATATAGTCACCTCAATGGTTCCGATGGCTTGACACATACGTCTGATTTGGGCCTCAGACGTGCTCGCGGCCAAATTTTCTAATTTAACCGTGTTTGTCTTTATCTCGGGTAACTTCTTCGCTTGAACCGCAGACTTTTGCAGCACAATTCGCTGGGGATTTTGCTGCGCATTCGTGACCTTCTGGCCGTGAACATTCGCGCTGTCGTTGATCACGGTCTTTTGCAGGCCACCCGGTGTTTTATGCGCCACCACTCTCTGATTGACGACCGTCGCTTTCGGACCGATCGCAGACTTTTGCAACGCATTACCCTGATTCTGCAAAATCTTCTGAGTCTGTATGACCTGCGTGTTGGTGATCTTCTGCTGTAATCCCTGACTCTTTTGCAGATTGGAGACAGTTTTTTGTATCGTGGTGGCAATCTTTTGCGAGTTCAACAGAGGCTTCTGTATCACGACTCTTCGCATGCCGGACTGCTGCACCACTTGTCTCGTTTGTACAGTATCGCCGGCTTGATTAGTCGCAAGTCCGGTGTTACTTTTTGAACCACTCGTGTCAGATAAATCGGTGGTCTGTATCGTTCGGATAATTCGCACATTAGATGGTCTGTCCGTTGTCTACAACAAAAAATACGTTATTTTAGAGACAAAATTTACTAAGCGAAGGATAACAATAATTTAAAAAAAAAGATATTAGCAACACAAAGCTAGTTTTAATTCAATTCTAATATGTCTCTTCTGAACAATGAAAGAAATAACTTCAAGTAAAAATTGAGCGAGCTTTGAATCTTAAGATTCGTTAACGTGCGTCTCAGTCCGGAGGAAATAAAAGAAACAAAATTGATTGAAAAAAGTATATTTTATTAAAATATATAAGGAAAATGTACAGTAACGTCTAACTCGCATAAAGAGTCATTGATAGTTTGTTTAAAAATGTATATATAATTATGATTCTCCATGTAAATGGTTTTAAAAAATGGCATTTCCTTTCACTGGTTTATTCCACTGATTAATTTTATAATTATAAAATAATATATATGAAATTAATCAAAATGCGAAGTCATACTGCGAGTCTGAGAAAGTAATTTTAGAAAGTCTGAGAAATCGTATGTTCATTCTCAGACTCGCAGTATGACTTCGCATTTTGATTAATTTCATATATATTATTTTATAATTATAAAATTAATCAGTGGAATAAACCAGTGAAAGGAAATGCCATTTTTTAAAACCATTTACATGGAGAATCATAATTTTTGTGATACTTTATAATAAATGTTATAAAATGTATGTTTAAAAAATATCACTTAACAGGTACTATCACTGGATCACTTCTATTTCCGTTATCTTTACTTTATATATATTTGATGCAGGAATAGAAATTTATTGTGCTTGTCGTAAGAATCTTTCTTTTCCACACATATATGCACGCATACACCCATGGACTCACGTGTGCATATACACACAAAAGATTTACACATTCACAAAAAAGAAGAGATATATTGCATAGTTGTACATCTCGTTAATACTCAGCATTAAGAAATTAATCAGGACTGAAGAGTGTAATATAATGATGCATTTAATGATGTACCTCTGTGCTCTGTGTATTGACAGGACGATTGCGTCCTTTGGCAACACCAGGGCGAGTTTTAATAGCGCCGTCGTTTACAAGCCCCATCAGCGTCGACACAGGCTTCGTTTCTTGCTGCGTATTCTCGTTCGCTGAAAAATTTCCGTTGCATTATTATAATCGATAATAAAACAAGGAGAAGTGTATTATAATTCTACGATGTAGTCAGCTGTAGAAATAACAGTGCAATTTACCTGCGGCAATGCTCGAATCTGTTTTCGCATCTTCATTTTGTTTCTCTATCGCGGCCATTTTACGCCTGTTTTCTTTCTCGCGCAGCAACTTCTCCCGAAGACGTTTCTGCTCCTCCATCTTCTTACGGTACTCCTGCATCTCCGGATCGTTATCCTCCTCCTGAGAGATTACAATTTCGCGATATATTTACCAGCTATTGCTACGAAAGGTAGAGTTCGCGAAATGAGAGATTCACCTTGTCGGCAACGGTTTCGTCTACCGTGTCCGCTCTTCGCACCTCTTGGAGATTTCTGTTGGGCGGCTTACTGCGTTTCGGGCTCATCTCCCGCGGTCCTTTATCCGACGACTCGGAGATCCTCTTTTGCGGAGGCCTGTTCACGCCACGGGGCACGACGTTCACCGGTCTCGAGATCTTTTGATCGTAAGGATCGTTGCGATACATATTCGGCGGCGTTCTGCTTCTCTGTACGTGATCGTTTCTTGTTCGCAACGGCAACTCTCTCTCTCGGTAACTCTGATGGGAGCCTCTGTGATCCTGACATCGCGACAAGACGAGTGAGTATTGCAAATTGTAAAAGTAAGCAAGATAATGCAGATGTCGCTTGAAAATATTTACTTCTTGATAATTATCCCTTTGATCCCACTGGCCCTCCGATTTATATTTACTGTCGCTATAATTACTCTCGCGACCATAATTACTGTCTGAAGAGTAATGCTTGCTCGGGCTCATATTTTGAGGTCTCTGCGGCCTGTTTTCTTGCCACACGTCGGAGAAATATGCATACGGGTCCTGATGACAAAATTTAATTCGATTTGCAACTTATCCGTTCATTTAACAACTTTTCGTCCCGCGTTGCATCACGGAAGAGTACTCACATCACTTTTGTTTTGCTGATAGTTCCGCTGATACTGCGGCGGACCCTGCTGAGACTGATTGTACGACCCCTGATTCTGATACGACGAGGGAGGTTGTGGAAATTGTCCGCTGTGAGAAGCCTGCGGCTGGACTTGCTGATTGGAGTCCCATACCAGTCGAGCTAAATGCACATGCCGTAAAAGAGGGGACACGATCAGAGAATACAATTGCGCAGTTAAATGCAATACATAGATACTCGGTTAGAAGAACTCACAGTCGTTCGCGGGCTGAACGGTGCCTCTGAAATGAGGGTTGATTAGAATTTTGTGGCCTGGAGGCAAAGACACACCGTGCGACACATTGGATACCGACTGTGGCGGTGCCGGTGCCATCGTATTATTAAATTGGCTATTGGGTACTTGATCGGAATGATAACCAGCCCTCGTGTCGTACGCGCCGCGACTCTCTTGGAACGGCGGTTCCTGGAACTGCGGCAGCCTGTTCTCGAAGGGCGGCTGACTAGGCATTTGCACGCCCGGCGGCAGGTTTTGCACGGGCGGCGGGGGGCCCTGAGCGGGCGGCTGCTGCCGCGGGAATCCCTGCATAGGCGGCATCGGCAGGTTCCCCGCCGGCGGCAGCATCGACAGATTCGCGGGCAGCAGCATGCTCGAATTACCGAGGAGCAATCCCGCGCCCTGCAGCAAGGGCCCCTGATTACCCTGAATCGGCCGGTTCTCCTGCATCGGTCGGTTCTCCTGCATCGGCCGGTTCTCCTGCATCGGCCGGTTCTCCTGAACCATGAGGCCGGCTGGACTTTGAAACGGCGGCTGCATCGGGAGATACGGCTGCTGATTGGGCAGGCAATTGAAGCTCAGTCCCTGCATGGATCCGGCGGCGAGGGGACCCCTGGGCCCGTACTCGGGAGGAGGCCTCGAGCCGATCGGGCGCGGCCCCGGGCCCTGAAACGGCCCGGGATTGAACTGCGGCCTGTTCTCCACGAATTGCGCCGGCGGCCCTTGCATCGGACCGTTCGGACCGAAGGGCTGTTGGAAGGGTGGTTGTGGATTAGCTTGTTGGTACATTATCTGCTGATTTTGTACGTTACTTGGTACGCCAAGGAGAGGACCACACGGCGGTCTGGTCTCTATCAGTGGCGGTCTGCACGCAGGCGGCTGATTTTCAAACGGCCGTATCGTACCAAACCTGCGAGACAATGGAAACTACCTTAGAAACGTTTCAACATTTGTTACTAATTCCCCCCCCCCCTCCCATCGATTATTATATCTATTAATTACGAAGATAGAAATCTCTTTAGGTTCGCCAGTAATAAATAACAATAGGTAAGTTTTAGTCGACCTTAACTGGCTCGTGTTTAATGTAAGAAAAATACAATGCGACGTTTCGACCAAGGGTTTAGGTCCTTCTCAAGAAAGTTCTAGAAAGGAACATCCGATAATCGGGATTATAAGCTAAACAAATTACTAAATAATCGTAATATGTAAAAGAAACGAGATTAAAATAAAAAAATAAAATATGAGGTATGGTTTGTCAGCGGATAAAATAATGTAAAAGATTAAATATCTCTTGGATTTATGTTACTGTTGATTTGGTAATTTGTTCTGTATACGTTGATTAGTTTGTAATCCCGATTATCGGACGTTTCTTTTTAGAACTTGCATGAGAAGGACCTAAACCCTTGGTCGAAACGCCGCAATAAAGTTTACTTACTAGCAAAATTCCCCGTTAAAAAAAAAGATACAGAAAAGGCCAAGTATAGGTACGCGTAGAAAGAACAAATATATAAGGAGCAAAATTTTGGTTTAAAAAGTACTCAAATCTATCTTCTCTACAAAAGGAATGATGTCAAAAAATTGCACCAACTATAAAAATCGTATTACAATGTTACGTTCAATGATTATAGAATACGATTTTATACAGTAAAAGTTTTGATTGGCCAAAACGTCACATTGTAGTTTATTTGTATCAAACACGGGCCAGTTAAGGTCGACTAAAACTTACTATTACCATATTAATTACGAGTTGGTCGTCAATATACGAAACGCTACCTTGGATTGAAGTTTCCAGTATTTTGTACATTAAATCTCCCTCCTCGGCTCCCCCTGATCCCACGACCCCGTCCTCTTCCCCGGAACGGCGCTCTGGACAGCTCCGTAGACGTGAGGACGTTCTCCAGGGTGTCCGGGATGTCGCTGTTCATCTTCAGCGAGATCATCGTGCGCTCGTTTTGAAATCTGTTCCGCCTCTCCTTCGCCTCCTCGCAGTCGTCGTCCTCCATTCCCTGCCCGTTGCCGACGTACAACATGCTCTTCTGCACGTTTTTCTGCACGATCTTCTCGCGCAGATCGCCCATGCCCGAAACATTAACGCTACTCGACTCCGAATTTCTGCCGGACTGAGGCAACGCCTCGTGTTCGTTCGCGTACTCGGCATTCTCGTCCTGCTCGTAATACGACGACGTCGACTGCGCCTCCGGGTGCTCTCCGTCCTTATAGAAATCGTTATCGCTACGTTTATCAGTATTGCCTCTACTAAACTCTATATTTTCATCTTCAGCGTCTAAGTCGTCGAGCGCGTCCGTGACTCCTAAGTCCAGCACATCATCTGTTTCCTCTTCTCCCTTATAGCTATTCTGCTGCTCGGGGGGAATCAAATTGCCAGATATTTGTAATGCAAAATACGAAATGTATCCATTATAGTGTAGTTATATAATATCTACATGTATATACCACTAACGTATCTAAAGCCGTGCGTATGCGGAAATATCGTTTCCGTTTGTGTGAAACATAAACGTGTGTGTCGGTTTTAAATATGTACATTCGTATATAAGTCCGAGTCTCGCACTGTCTGTGCATTCGAGTGCGAAATCTCCTCTCGGCACAGCGTGAAACGTGGATTTTTTTTTAACTTCTGTCTTCTTAAAGATCTTATTCTCCGCCTATCGCACTCGTTAACATAACTCGGGAGAGGCATGCTCTTATGTCTAACGGTAATAATAGTGAAACACAAGTCTTATAAAGGAGCGTGACCGACGGATTGCTGCAAGTCCGAGTGTACAGCGAGAAACTGTTAGCGTATATGCGGCATTATTGGTGAGAAAGGAACGTAACGTGGGATAAGTTGTATCGCGTAACAATCGAACGAGTCGATCTTGATCGATGAATAGAATTTTGCTTGTGCCCCGCGGAAGAAGACTCGCGCGTTATCAATGCGGTACAATATAATTCAGCTATAAACTCGACATACACATGCAGTTGTACGATAGAATTTACTATTTACAAAGGTTACTCTTCCCGGACTTCAGTACACACGAGACTCGCAATGCAACTCGTAAAACTCTATTGTGTATCGCATTAGCTGTAATCGGAGAGCACGAGTTACTCTCGCTGCGTTTAGCAAGCTTCAATTTGGATGTGCGATATAATTTGTATAATTTCAATCGTTGTGTGCAAAAGTTGTCAATGAAATCTTGGAATATATACGCGCCGATATAACTGAATTATTTTCTGCAGCATCCACTTATCGGACGAGCTAGGGTACTTAATGCTAAAATTCGCGGTACAATTTCGCATTGGAGTCACCGCGACGGCTTTTCGCAGCCGCCAAGTGTTGTGGGAGATCGAGAAGATCAAGTCGATGAGATTAAAGTATCGGAAGGGCTTAATGTAAAAACTCACCTCGTCGCATAAAGATTCCTTTACGCGTACATTTATTATTTACCTTGAAATACTTTCCTCGTTGATCGTCGGAATTTATGTGAAATAAAATGAAAAGTTCTTTTTCCCCCGCGCGGAAGAGACCGTCGTCGTCGTAAAGTATTAGCGATTAAGCGGAAGAATGAATTAACTACGTTTCGCTCTTTACACGGCACAATTATAGAGGAAAGTCCTCCATTATGAGATAGGTTTCTAATATGAGATAGCAGGTTGTCAACATTCAATCACAAATCTTTTCTTGCAACGATTACAGAATCCAAGAGTGAATCTTTCACCGAACAGATTTCGCTCCAGGGGCAATAAATTCATGGCGGAGTCAACAGCCTATTAATTTAGCAGAAATCTCGCTGTCTCACATTAGAAGCCTGTCACATAACGAGGGTCTTTCCTCTATATTTTACATTCGTTGCTTCACATTAAGCCATTCAGAGAAATGAACTCTTTTTTGAGAACAAGGCGAGATATAATTATGGAAATTTACATCGACAACCAGAGATTGCGTACCGTCAATCAATTGAATCGTCTGAATGGAACACCGCGGGCTTTTTCCGTTCCATTATCCTCGATCCCGCTTGATCCCATTCTTAGTTTACAATCGCATTTGCACGGCAAGTAAAGCGAATACATACAGCATCGATATTGTTGAGCGAAACGTTTTTCCAATTACAAAGTTTCGTACGTTGCAGATCGTGTCCCGGAAACGCGTTAAGACAAATCCAAATGTTCTGAGCCGGAGACGTGACGTTGCCTCGAAGTCGTTTTTGCACCTGAATAAAGCGCGGTAACTTTTCTCGTATACAACAAACGTTACTTTACAATGTCTCTCTTTAATCGGCAGCTATCTGTATTCTTTCTACCTGCATAACTCTGCGGCACAATGTTGACAAAACATTTACGCCCGGGTGAAAAAAGGTGGTTCGCACTGAAACTGAATAGTCTCAATTTGGGTTGATAGACCCGTCGTATAAATCACGTTTTTCCATATCTAGCAGCGGTCTATTTGTAACCGTTAAGAATATCATCACGACACGACAGACGTTGCGCGGCACATACAGATACATTTACATATATTTAAACTAGATACGCGTGTGTATACAGCAGTCGATGTGTGTATCGCGCGTGTAACTTTCAAATTCTGGGCTCGTATGTGACAAAAGGTACGCGGGAGAGAACTGATCCTTCCCTGGACAGAATTCTTTCCCCCGACACAGTCGGCTCCTCGATACAGTCGGTAATCGCACCATGTATTGCGGCTCTGACTCTCTTAATTCATGCAGAAAACGCATTAAAAATGTACAACGGGTAACAGCAGCGTATACATATTGTACATAAAATATAAATATCGACGCCACAGGCGTTACTGTACGAGATTAGGGGGATCTCAGGTTGTGCGGAGTGTCTGATTCGTGCAAAGTGGAGCGCCTCTCGCGAGGAGTACTTTTACGAGAAACGAGGAATAACGCCGTTGCCTTTAACGCTATCAGCTCGATTACCGGCGACAATAGTCATGGGGCGACTATCCTCGGATAACTGAACTAACTCCGTGAGTTAGCTCAACGAAAGCAACACTAAATAAGGATCTAAAACTGAGACAATGTCCAAATTAAGGTATCATTGTATGGCACAATTGAGAGAGAGAGAGAGAGAGATAGCTGAACATGTCAGAGGGGCGTGAGGTCTCAACCGGCAGGTGGGAGATAATGGGCAAACGGTATGCTTACCCTTTCCAGTTCATAGTCGTCCGCTAGGAGGGCCTCCTCCTCGTCGTTACCCAGATCGTACTCCTCGTCCCCGAGATCTTCGTCCAGCAAAGTGTCGTCACTGAAAGAATCAACGAGATAACGTCTGTTACGTGGGGCGCGATCGCGAGCGGAGTCGACGGGGATGAGGAATCCCCCCCCCCCCCTCCGGGGCTGTTTGAGAGTGACAACAATCTACATCATTGCTGGAAGCGTTCGCGATTCTAACCTCGCGCGATCGCGGCTGCTTCGGAGCGATCGCGCTCCACCGAGTCTTAGTGCGATAAAGGTTGCGCGGATAAAATTTTGAGATTAGTCGCGCGAGTGTCCTGAACGGGGTACGGGGGCACTTACTGCTCCGACATGGTAAGTCGTAGTCCTTTGTACGGTGGAACAGAGTCGAGGGGCCGAAGCGGTGACAAGTAGCGAGATAGACCGAACCAACACGAAGCCACCAACGGCACCAACCACCAACTCCCATAGTTTTGCGTGACCAGCAATCGTGGTGCCCTCTGAGAAGTGTTCGATAACTTGGAAGAAAGAGTGGGTGCGTTTTCAGCGGAAAAAGTATGGAAGAATTAAGGTGGCGTCACACCACAGTATAACAAGTAGTGGCACTCGCTCTTTTGTTTCACGTTCGCGCCGATCCGTACTGCGCATCCGACATGGTTTTATTCTGACCAATCATAGGATTTTTGTACGTGTGTTAGTGCAAAGTCGGTGTAACCTTTGACTATAGAAACCTGGACTGCTAGTGGCGGAAAAAAGTTGTAATGAACTAGAGTACCTCTAGTGAGAGTATGGACACCGTTAGTCGATTTTTGATTGGCTCTTTGATTCGCCATTTGTAACAGGGCAAAGTTTGATCAAAAGTAAGATTTTTGCAGAAATTGTGGTTCAAATCTTGCTTTTGATCAAACTTTTCTGACTCGGGGTCGGGTCGAGTCAGAAATGTTATTTTTAACAACATGACATTGTCTTTATCACTTAGGAGGACATATAATTAATAAAATTATGAAAAAGTGCAATATACATATATGTGAGAATTGTATTTGTGCAATAGGTAGTAGAAATCCTACTGCATTTCCATATGCAGAAATAACACGACTGCGATGTTTTAAAAAAAATACTCTTTTTTTTTGTTAATGAAGTCACTTTTAATTTTATTTTAGATATGGAAAAAATTTTTCGGTTTTATTATGAAAATGTACGAAATGTTAAGTCATTTGATGTAAAAGAATTTTATGTTATCTGTTGTCAGGAATTACAGTTTAATATTCCTGATTGTCATCATTAAGACTGAAACTTATGTCTGTGATACCTGTAATAAAACAAAATAATACTTTTGCTAGTAAGAGTGTAGCAATGCATAATAATATAAAATAAAAATAAATATCTCTTTAATTCTTATTTTATTAATTTTCCTTTCATTTATTTTATGTTAAACGAATTTTCTAAAAATTTATACTTATTTCAGATTCATATGTAGAAGTTAATGTGGCTGCGTTCAGATATTCATTACCAGTACTAAAAATCTATACTTTACGTCACGTTCATTATAGATTTTCACTGGCAGTGAATATCGGGATACAGCCTATATGAAGAGGCTTGCAATTGAAAAATATCACAGAAATGAATTTGAAAAGCGCGCCATAGTTTCCCTGTTAATGTCGGACGTTGTCCATACTCTCACTAGAGGTACTCTATAATGAACTAGAGATCCTCAAGTAAAGGCACAGTATAACCAGTATGCCCACTCTCTGTCGGCACCTTTGATCTGGGCGTTCTCAATTTTCCGCCATGTTTTTGATAGCCCCAACAGTGTATCAACGGCTAAAAGTGCCTGGGCCCTTTTCAGGATCGTATCCAGGAAAGGCGCGTACGAACTAGCGTACATTATTTATTGTAAATGGAAATGGCCTATGAAAAAAATGTTCTAATAAAAGTAATTAATGTAATTACTTGCTCCAACGTATAAAAGTATTAACGCGTTATTCGTCAAAACTGCTAATTTTTCAATGTCACACCGACTTTGCACTAACACACGTACAAAAATCCTGTGATTGGTCATAGCTAAAGCATGTCGGATGCGCAGTACGGATCGGCGCGAACGTGAAACAAAAGAGCGAGTGGGCATACTGGTTATACTGTGGTAAAGGTACCATTTCATGCGCAGCATACTGCCGCAGCAACTCGCTGCTATTGGTTGAAGAATTGTTACTAGATGCTGCAAAATAAATTTCACCATATTTTGCTTCATCGCTGTGAAGTTCAATTGAACGAACAGCAAAGCAGCAGACACGCGATCTAGCCGGCCAGTGCTGCTGCAGCTATTCCTTTTCCGTGAGCAGCAAATATGCTGTAGTGAATTTGGATCACGTGACTAATTTGCTGCTGCTGCATGCTGCGTATGAAAAGGCACCTTAAGAGATGCGCAAACCTTGAACGCGACGGGATTGGTTCTGGCCGACTTTGCAAGAATATGGCGGCTCGCTAGTGCGCGGTTCGTTAGCGCGCAGGCTCGGTGGCGCGCAGACTTGTTGCCGCGCAGGCGCGTTGACGCGCAGGCTTGTTGCCGCGCAGGCGCGTTGGCGCGCAGGCCGCCATATTCTTGCAAACGACCGAAGATTGCGCATCTCTTACTTGAGGATCTCTATAATGAACCATAGACTTCTATAGACGGAGCATTAGCTACGACTCTGGGCAAGAGGGGTCTGATATTCGGGGCGCGGGAGGACTCATCTGACATCGACTCTTTCCGGTGAGATTCGGTAATATTCGGTTCACATTTCCAATACGTGTGCACACGTATATACGGCGCGTTGCTTGTGTGCGAGCGTGCGCGCGCGCGTG